GAGTGGACTTGCATATGAACAAGAATACAAATATAAACTTTATAAAATAAAATTATGAATTCAAACAATATAATGAAATTATTACCGAACAACCAAGTAAGACAAACAACATGTCGAATCGTTCTTATACATCAAGGGCAATCTCAGTCACAGTACCCGTATTTACTATATTCAGATTGTGACAATGAACCGGGAGTATTCAGGGGTCCCCCTCAATAGTTGTAAGATATACATCTTTGCTCGCCATGCTTGATTATATAAAATGCTAACAATGAACCGTTGGTTCACATCTTCCATGATTTTCTTTTGTACGATAGACTCTCCGACAGTCTTTCAAACTCGTTGCTAATATATGACCCAAAACTTTTTTATTCGCATTACAGTGGTTTAGGTGGACCTGGGACCTTGACTGAATGTGTTCATCATGCAATTTCTGAACATGAAACATACTGGTATCATCGATAGAAACCGCCATTAAATGCCAATCACAGTTTGGGAAGTGACACACTGCCTCGTAGTAGTATTTGGATGATTTTTTTAACCTTTATCTGAATGTTTTCATAAACACATTTTAATCTTAATGCCAGCTTCAATGTTTCATTCGAGTCAAGGGTTTACAGAACTTATACATGTGATATAGGCTGGTAGGAAATGTTTATTTTGTATTTTATAACGGGGGCATGACAAGGTGTTGGGTTGGGCATACCCCAATAACTATTCTTTACCGGATGGATTTCTTCACCATTTAAGTTGCCGTCTTCAGTTATATTCAAAATTTTTGCAGCAATAGAAACGTCTTCATTGTTATTTACTACCCACAAAGTTGACTGTTTCAAAGAGTGGTTCGAAGACTGGTTCAAATCTTGAACCAAAAAATTATCATGATCAAAATCATTTATCGGTTCAAAAACCTCAGTCGGTTGTGTTTGATACCGTTGCTTTGCTATTGGCATATTTGACACATGAACAAAATTATCAGGTTCATTCATTATGATAGCACCATGTTGATTGATTCCGACAACATTGTAGATATGGACGCCACTACAACCACGAAATAAACTACCGATTTGATTGATTCCAACAGAAAAATATAAATTTCCATCACTGTCACCGAGAATGAAACTATTCGGTTGATTTATTTTGACAACAAAATATGGATTTCCTCCACTACTACCAGAGAATAAATAACTTTATTGATTGATTCTAGTAGAACTGTAGAAATTTCCACCATTATCATTAGGGTAAAAAGTACCTGTTTGATTGAATTTAGAAGAACCATTTGAGTTTGCACCACTACAGCCGATGAAAAACATACTTGGTTGATAGATTACGACACTTGATGGATCTCCACCATCACTACTACCGTCGACAACAAAGAGTGTCAAAATTTGCGAATAGATTTTGATGGACGACGTTTTGGAAAATCACCACATCTTCTTCGTCAGCTAGCTCAAATAACTCACAACTTAAAGAATTTTTATAAAATAACCTAAAACGATTGCATAAACTTAACTTTTTCGCAACACACTTAACTAAACTAGAATGTTTTATTGGCAAAGGCAAATGTAATATATGTTTGGGCACTCCTAACGGCATATATTTTATAACACCATTTATCCTCTGGAACGAACAACCACTTTGAACATACACATAACCGTTATCACTTGGATGTAGATTCATATTTGTGTTAAAAGTTGTGATGATAGATTGTGCTTAAGGGTTAAAGATTGTGATAGTAGAAGTGTTTGGATTACTAAATTTTCATGTTTGGGTTACTACAATTATATGTACTATATTTAGTCCTAAAAAGACAAAATACCAATGAAAATCATCCCTATTTCTAGTCACATCGTCATTGAGTTGTCAAACCAACTAAAAAGTTAAGTCATAGAATGTCTCCACTACATGACATAATAAGGGTTAGATTTTCACTGGATTTGGGCGATTCTGATGAAAGTGTCAAAAAATTAGATTTTTGTTCTCCAACCTATTTCGGCCCTTATACATGCTGCTACGATGGTAGCAGCGCGAGGGAATTGCACGTATAGAGATTAAAAAAAGAATCGACCTGATCCAATGGATTTTCTTTCCTTTTGCCGCATTTCGCTCAAAGGGTTGAAGGGATATAGCAAAATATGGTATAAGCAGCTTCTATCGGAAAACTCTGGCATACATGTGGGACCATCCGTACCTCAAATCATGACATCTCCCCAATAAAGTAAATCGCCCTCCAGGGGCGATTTTTATGGTCATTTTGTGAGAAAAGTCTAAAAAATGGTTATTTTGTTAGTGTACTATGTATAAAGTGACCAATTTTGCCAAATGCTTTTAGTGTTTTTTGCACCATTTGAAGATCGAGTGGAACGATAGGAGTTGAACTTCAAGAGAGATCTAAACTTGGTACAAAATTATCCGAAAAATAACTTTGTTCCAAAAATTCCGAACCATGTACGTGTGTGATCGGAGATGACCACATGCCAGACATTACAACAGAATTGAGTTTATAGGAAGCCAAAATTTTGTAAATGTCTCAATACACTGTTATATAAGACATAAGTTTTTAGGACCAAACACTAAAATAAAGCGTTGTATTACCTATTTTATAAGACACTTTTGAGAAATGCCCTATAAACACATCTTTTTATAGGACATTTTTTCAAATATTGTTCTATAAAATAGTTGTTAAGACACCTAAAAGCGTCATATAAACCTATTGCAACACCTTTAGATGTGACACTTTAATATTTTGTCCTAAAAACTTTATGTCCTATAAAACAATCTATTGGGACACTTACACAATTTTTGCATCATATAAATCCAATTTTGTTGTAGTGAGAAATTGAATTTCAAACAACCAGTTTTAGAGCATCTGATAGTGAGTCCACATTTGAATCACCTAAACTCCATCATCAAATGTTTTTGTATAAACTGCCAGAACATGTATACAACAGAATTGATCATAATGCTCAATGATCTTAACATTATCTCCTCATCAAGGATAGAGAGTGGAGTGCATCTCCAGTCCAAGCAGGTCCAACAATGATCATAGGGACTTGGCCTTCTTAAATCCTCCACGAAACTTCCCTTGGGATGATCCTGATCCCAATGGTTGCAATACTATTGCTTATTGGGTTGAAAATCTTGTTGTCAATTACTTCTTTTAACCCCTTGACTGAAAAGGTCCTAGATGCATCTAATAACCATGTCCAATTGTCCAAAACGCTTGAAAGGGAAGGAAGATTATGATTTGAATCGTGCAATTCCTCGAGTTCACCATCCCCAAGACCATGGCCACCTCCCTTGCTGCTTCTCCGATCAATTCTCACTAGCAACTCCTTGTTGTTGTCATGTTAAAAAGGCATTAATGGAGTCTGAAATTTCCCAACCATTTATCTTTCCAAAATGAAGTGCTGCAACCATCACCTATATGTTTCCAAAAACAAGTTATGAAAATTAATCCTAATTCTCTCTAGATCTTTCCCAACCTGAATCATGTTGGCCCGCACTCCATTCAACTTTCTAATACTTTAAACCCCTCCCCAGTTGGTACATGCTACCTAGGCCACCATATTTTCCAAAAATGCCTTTTTTTTATTTTTTATCTTTGTCCATAAAATGTCCCCTTCTACCTTGAAGTGCCACCACCATTTCCCTAAAAGACTCCAATTACAAGCTTTAAGACTTCCAATATGAACCCCCTTGATATGCCCAGTAAATCACAATATCCCATTTGATCCAGGTATTTTGTGTTTTGTTATTACCTCCCCAAAAGAAATCCCTCTTCACGTTCTCCAAATTTTTAAAAACTCTAGTCGATGCACAGATAAGGATAATTAATACAAAGCAAGGCTACCAAGAACGGGCTTAACAAGTGCTAGTCTTTCATCAAAAGATTTTTTTTTTCGTTTCCATATCAAGAGTTTGGATTTAAACTTGTCAATTACCGAGTTCTAACTTTCGACTTTGTACATGTTATTTCCCATAAGAAAAAAGAACCTTCCCTGAACAACCAAACTTACTACTTTTCAAAGTTTATGTAAATTGTTTATTCTAAATTAATCACAGATTTTCTTGTTTACATACCACAAAGTTGAATTATTCATAAAAATTTGTCATAAACAGATTCAACCATGGTTAGGGGTATGCAAAACTTGATCCGGACCAATAAAACCAAATAGGGATCAGTTTGAAATCGACTTTATGTTGGGTTCGGTTCTAGATTTTTTTAAACCAACCATCGGTTCAATTCAAGATCTAACAATATTCTTTTTGAACTTAAAACACCTTTGTTTTATACTTACTTAAATATATTTCAGTTTATCGTCAAAGTTGAAACCAAACCAATTTCAAACGAACGAGTTTAGGTTGGTACGATTTTCGATTTGGTTGGCTTTCCCCATAGGCATAGAGGATGGCCGTCTAACATAAGTAAGTTTGGGTGTAAATACCAAATGGTTCCACAAAGTACTTTTGGGGCAGGAGTCCTTTCAGGAAGTAAAGATGGAGACTTCACAACGCTCACTTTCATCTTCTTATCAAAAGCCCATTCATCATATATTTATTGCTTTGATGGTGACTCCATACACAAACTATATTAACTGTACTTCTTGCATCAATACTTTGTACCCTTCATTTTCTTTCCTTTTTTTCTTATAAGAATTACATATATTTAACTTGATAAATATAATTTAAACAAAATACTCACATGAATATTTCTTATTTATAATTAGATAAACATATTGTATAATTATAAAGTATACTTTACTCTGACAATTTGAAACCTATAACGTATTTATCTTTTTATAGGCATGAAATCACTTGCATCTTAACCGATGTGATACAAACATTCCAAACTTATCTTTTACGTTAGACAAATAATTCTCAACAATACTTAAAATACGGCTCAACCTAGATGAGTCGAGCATACAAAAATCTGTCTAGATCAAATACGTTAGAATAATTTAACATAATATATATATATATATATATATATATATTCCTTTTCTCAAGACCCAATCTCATAAATAAACAAGTCTTAAAGCTTAAAGTACAAGTAATCATTCCACAAACCACAAATTACGTGAACTTAATAGTGGGTGCAATCATCTTTTTGATCGTGCAAACAAAAAAGCTACAACTTCTTAGGATCTTGTTGTAAAAGCCTGTTCCCCACCTTTTATAACATATACCACTCCTCCACTTGATCATTTCTTTTCTACTCCCGACTCCTAGCAATGCCTCACAGCCACACGATCAAAATCAAACGGTATACGCGATCACAAAGCAAGGAAGCACAGCCCTTGGATTAAAAACAATCAGCTCATCTTCATCGTCCAATTTGCTCTCTGTCCCACCGGTTTCCCTCCCGACCAAGGAATCATATCCCGGGTCATCCTTGTCCCCCATTTCCGGGTCACATCCGACCCGACCCGCTATGACCCGGCAGACCAACATGGCTCGCTTCACGTGCATGAATCGGAACTCCTCCTCGATGTCTTCAGGGAGTGCCACGTGTCCCTTCCAACTTGTTGATAATGTGGATATACCGTCCATTTTGGATGAGAACCCGGCCCGAATGATCCCACATACACTGCAGTACTGGTGGCTGCAGATGCTGGAATTACCGTTTTGCCCCAGGTCACACAAGAATGTGGCGCAGTGAAACCGGAGTAGCTCGTTGCCGTCGGCGATACACCGTTCGTCCCTCCGTCGTACTCCGCCGTATCTTGCCGCCTTCGATTTCACGATCTCACGGTATTCTTCGAACCGGGTAAGTATCTTAGGGCTGTTGTGGATCTTCATGACCCGGTAGATCATCGGGTTCTTCCCGGTAATGGGCCAACCCGTTTGGAATATGATCCGAACGATGTTTTTACCCGGGTCGTCATCGAATAGCTCCGAAACAGCGTGTTTGAAGGCTTGGTGTTGTTCCAGCAATCCGGGTTTTTGGAAAATCTCGCCGCAGTTCGGGCATGGGTAGATGTCGTTGCGAAGAGGGAAGAAGTCGGATTCGGTTAGAGAACCGGGTCGGTTACCTCGTTCCAAGAGGGTGGTTTCAAGCGGAGCCATGGAGACGTTAATGGTGGAAATCCGTAAGGACCGAGTTGAGGACGCCGGAGAAGGTACGTGATGAACAATGGATGAGTTGCCGTCGGTTTGCGAAGTGGGTTTTGATGAGAAGATTTGTTTGATGAAAGCCCATGAACCGGAAAGGGTTTTACGGGGTTTGAGCTTGGTGGCGGTGGGGCGGAGGAGAGGGAGCGGAGACGTCGGTTTTCTGGAACGACGGCGATGGTGATCAGAAGTGGGGAAGATGATGAAACAACCGAGATGAATTAGGATGAAGAGGAGAGAGAGGAATTTTGTGAAAACAGGAGGTAAGTTGGCCATTAGAACCTGAAATCTGAATCGGAATCAATGGAGGAACGGTGGTTCTGGTTCAGCCATGAAATTAAGAGAGATCGATAGAAAGAATGAAGGGTAGGGGTCAATGAAAATGGAAATGGAAGAATAAAGGTGAGTAAGGTTAGGTGGAAGGCAACTTCATGATATCTTAAGGATCGACCCTACATCTCTTTCATCTCCATCATTTGATTCCATGATGCATTAGTGTCATCTTTTTAGTTCTTTACTTATTCTAAACTTCTTTTTGTTTTTGTAAAACATATCTATATCATGCTACATTTATCTTTTAAACATAGTAGAGCTTAGTTTACTAAACAATTTGGGCAAAAGTTGATTACCAACGATCCCAATTGGTTTTATACGGAACCCGATTTCAATGATTACAATGTGACAAAAGCATTTTTTGACTCACAAAACGCTAAAGTTAGCGCCAAGGAGGGGGCCTAGGATCGAATACATGATCTGTCTTTTAACAATTAAAAGATGCTTATCTAATAAGAGATAATGGTGTTTACTATCAATCTTACTATGGAGCTGTTTGTTTACCACTTATTGATCTCATTAAGAGGCTAGGGTCTGAACCGGTCAGACCTAATCTTGTTTGGCAAGACTTTTAGAAAATGTCTGAATGATAATTTTCCTCTTAATCGCTCCTTCATCTACCCCAACCTTATACGATTCAGATCTCATTTTTTCCAATATTATCCCTCGCCTTCTCATCCTCCAGGTACTGTCCATGTCCATCGATTCGGTCATTCTCTCTTCCCGATTCACCCCTTATCGTTTCCCTCTAGTTGATCGAACCAACAATCGCATCTGTTGAAGAACCGATTGTAGCACCTGTTGAAGTACTGATTGTAGCACTGTTGAATACACAACGTTCGATTCAAGGTACCATCTCTCAACTTTAGTATGTGTTTAGCGATTCAACTTTCGTTTGTATATGTTTAGTGATTTGGGTTTAAACCTGCTCTTTTTTTTTACTGTTTAGTTGAGCCATGGGTTAAAATATCTACCGATTCACCTCTTACACTGTTTTCTTTCAATTTCTTGTTGGGAAGCCATTATTTTAAAATGCATAACAGTTGACAACTTGGGACTCCATCTTGATCACATTGTTGCAATCTATCTGTTTCTAGTTAAACCTGCTGTTTTTTCTACCGGTAGCAATGAAGCCTGAATTTGTGATGCCATCCACTGCAGTCCTGATATTCTATTTGCTTGGGACAGGAGGGTACCTATTTTCCATGGAATAATTCCTCTTCATCCCCTGTTTTTACATGCCTCATAATCAACTAGGATACTATTTGTCTTCCCTTTACTTCCTATAATTGGATCATTGGTAGCTTTATTTTTTATGGACATAAGAACTAAGAGATAAAGAAGTATATGAGTCCAATAATCAACATGCAGTGCCTAAAGTGGAAGATTTCAATATAAAGTTCTAGGAACTTGGTTCCAAGTTTAGAAGTATGGGAGTATTTATTTTATCCATGTGAGTGTGGTGTTTAGATCCTTCACTTCCATGAGCTTGATATAGCCTTTCCTTTGAAAAAATGACACAATTACTAGGAGATAAAGTATCAGATAACATGATTAATTAATAAATATATGGCACTATGAGTAACAACAAAAGCCAAGATGAAGCCCATGTTGACTAACCCACAACTTTGACAGAGAAGAAAGCCAAAATCCTTATGCATCTTGTTTTCTAAACCAACCCCCCCCCCCCCCCTCTTTCAGTTCTGTGATTGGATGTATTTTGTAGAACCAAAGTGAATGCTTTTATATGTTAGCTTTAGGCATGCGCAAACTAGAGTATAAAATCTTATATTTTATAAGTAACAATTCACTAGCATACTCTCAGTACTAATACAACTAGCATCTTTTATTAGCATTATTTTTTCATCGAAGGCAATCGTATCCATGTTCTATCCTAGTCCATGATCCATTTTTCTAGCTTCAAGCAACTTATATCTCATATATGTCTCTCTCTGTATTCTGTTTGTGCATATTTGGGTGAATGTAGTGTTTTAATCTTTAAGGTCTATATAGTTTGGTGTATATAAACCTTTGGGTTACTCCACTAAAATAGTTTTGAATTTGAGAGGTAATGTTTCACAATTAAAAGTCAGAGTAGGCATCTAATAGGAAACTTTCATATTTGCATGAATGATGGCTTCAAGGCCTTGCTACTTATGATGCAAGAGTACCTTATATGAGATGATATATCCTAGCTTTATATATATGAGATGATGTAGCAGTACCTTAAATGTATAGTATAACTATGGATGTGCAAAAAATATAACAAAAGACTTGCACAAATTTTGCTTTTAGTACAAGTTTGATTTCACATCTCAACCCTTTTAGGCATATTATAAGAGATCTTTTAAATGCTTCAAATTAGATGTTGTACTTAAAATATTGGGTTTGAAGTTGTGTTTCATGTGATGTTTTGTTATGTCAAAACTTGAACAAATATTGTCATGCTTGTTTGGATTGATATAATATTATGTAATGGCTTGGACCGTTAATTATTTTCTATTTTTCATTTAGAAATTTTCTTCAAAACTGTTGTCAAACATTAATTTTCATTAAACACAAGACTGAGGGTAAAATGATAATTTTATGTCATTCAGACTGTTGATTCAGAACAGTTTCGAAACAACCTTTTTCTATCTGACACTAAATCATACATAGTCTCTTAATCATCCTGACCACTTAATCATGTTGCACTAAATCATTCAGCAACTGCCAAACAACCTCTATGTCATTTTGCTAATGCTGAATTTTATTCGATTAGTGTTTATTGAGTAAGATACTTATGCTATGCTATTTTGATGACTAAAAATTTACTCGGTAAGATAAATAAATATGATGAGTTTTATCCAATAAACATTTACCATTTTGTATTGGTAAACCACCTCTAAATTCATTTCTAAAGCGGTTCTACATATGGTGAAATTATTGAACATCATCTATATATTTCATCTAATACATTTTAACTCATTATAGCATTAATAATAAAACGAGTGTTTCAAGAGGTTCAAATGTCTATACGTCCTAATAGAGTATTGAAATTTATAGAAACAAGAGTTTGGTTGTCATATCTAAAAACATTATAATAAATTATTGGAACAAAGTTGTCGTCAAATATAAGCAAAACCTAATGGGACATAAAAAGTAAAATTAACTGTTAAAACTTTTATATAGCATTTTCATATATATGATATTATGTGTTGTTTGCCAAACACTTATTGAGTAAATATTTACCGTGAGAGTCACCACTCTCATTTTCCTTATGAGATAACATTCCCGACCATGAACATGGATTGGTGGTAAGCCATTGTAACACGGTAAGTGCTTACTGGGTAGCACTCTCGACCCTTGTCTTCCCTTTTAACTGGTAATATATATTCTCGGTTCTTTTTATGTTCACCTGGTAAGGCCGGTAATTGAACCGACAAATGCTTATTGATGTAAGTGTTTAGTAAACGCGACCTTAATATTTATATTTTCACAACTAAATAATTGAGATAGTAACAAATAAATATAATTAAATTAAGATAGTACCAACCTACTTTATCTATTTTTTAATTCAAAAAGGTGAACATTTTTTGGAATTACAACAACCCTATATTTTGTATATTTGTACAATTAGTTGTAGAAAATAAATTATTAAAATTAATGATAATCCATGTGTCAATATATTAATTACGTATAATAAATAAATAGTATTATGGTTTACTTTTGAGCATGTGGTTGAATAATTTATGGTTTTCATTTATTTTTGAAGTAAATGATTTATTGTTTTATGAGGTGGATTATGTTTAGCTATAAATACATTAACTATTTAGGGCGTATTTAAGATATTCTTTAGAGTAAATTGCATTTTTGGTCCCTGTTGTTTGCTGATTTTCTTGGATTGGGTCCTTAAAAGAATTATGTCAAAAAACCCTTTGTAGTATGTAAAAATGCTTAGTTTTGGATATTCTTACTAACAACGGTTAATTTCATCCGTTAATTTAAGAGCATTTAGGTCTTTCTCATTTATATTTCATTTGTTTAAAAGAAATTTGAATTATATAATTAATTTTTGAGTATATTACAGATTTGGTCCCCATTGTTTGCTGATTTTTACAAAAATGGTCCCTAGACTTCATTTATTATGGATTTTGTGCCCTTGGGAATTTTTTGTTGGATCTGGTCCTTACACTAAACGCCGTTTATGTTCTTTTGTTAACTTTTATGGAATTTTTGTCTTTTTGTCATTCTTCTTTATTCTAACATTTTTTCTTCAATCGAGGGCTAGAATGTATATACTGTAACTTTGAGGGCCAAAAACAAACTTTATTTGAAGGTAGGAGAAGGGAAGGGGAAGAGGATGACATGGGGGGAGGACCGGGAGGATGGTGGTGGAGGAAAGAGGGGAGTGTTCACTATAAAATGGGGTGTCGCCGAAAAATGGGTTTCACAAGAAGGTCACCGGTTCTACATGAGAGACGATGGGTAGGATACCAAGATGATTTTTGATTATGTTTGGCTGTTCAAGTTTTATTAAATACATTTTCATCCATAATTTTAAAAGGTTAATTGAAAATTCTTAAAAATAGAAAATACAAAATGACCCCTATGCCCTCAACTTTAACGAACGTGATAGACGGTCATTAGGAAGAAGGACCAAATCCAACAGAAAGTGCATACCACATACACCAAATCCATAATAAATTAGAAAATTATTAATTTTGAATTAAAAAGTTTAAATAAAGGATATTATGGGTATTTGTAATCCCCCTCTCTCTCTTCTCCTTTGTCCCCAACATGTTCTACCATCACCACTACAATTTTTGTACATCCCTATAATATACAAATATTATGAGCATATTGTGAACCAATTTTTGTACAGTCCTATGGTATATAAATATTACAAATATAGTGTGCACATTATATAAAACAATGGTTCTATGGTTCGATGATAATGGGCA